TGATTGGTTGATTCGCTTATGCACTATGCGTTATGCGTTAGGGCCCAGACACACACTTTTGCATAACGCATTACGCATAGTGCATAATAAGCGAATCAACCAATCAAAATTCTTCTTTTCCATGGAATGAGAGGAAAGGAAAGCTTCTGATTAATTGATTCGCTTATGCACTATGCGTTATGAGTTATGCAAGAGTGTGTGTCTGGGCTCTTATGCAAAAGTGTGTGTCTGGGCCCTTAAACACAATAGGCACAGGCTATAGGTCTGTTCTTTTTGGCTGAACTTTTGCACCAGTTCATCTTTCTTTGGGCTTGCGCACAATAGAGGAACAGGAATTAGATATTAAGATTTCAACATATCAGAAACTGATTACATCGGAATACACGATTTCTGATAGGTTGAAATCTTAATATCTAATTCTTGTTCCTCTATTGTGCGCAGGCCCTTTCTTTTCTCTCCAGGAGGAAAGAAGAGGAAGAAAGGTGAACTGGTGCAAAAGTTCAGCCAAAAAGAACAGGCCTAATAGGCACAGGTAGAGTCATAGGCCGTGGTCCGAATCATGCTGACAACGCTCATGAGCATTGTTTGTTTTCGTTTAACATTTGAAAAACAACAAGGATGAAATGATTTTTAAGCGTTATGAGCGTGTATCGGACCGAGGCCCTAGATTTATCAGAGAGGCGCAACCGGCTTAAGTCAATATGACAAAAGTGCTAACGAGAGTACTAAACATGGCCTACATACTATGAAACTGCCTTTAAACTATGTCAACAAGATAAGACGTGTAGAATAATGTGAAATAGAATGTATAGGATAAAATGAAATAAAAATATGTCGCTAGTACTATAAATAACTGCCAAGTCACGCAATTGGTCAGATTGCAACAGCGAATCAGAATGCATAACACCGGTTGCGCCTCTCTGATAAATCTAGGACTCTACAGAGAATAACGAGCCGTTCAATTAGAGCTTTGAGATATGATATCGAACTTACACACCAGAGCTCTGATTGGGCGGCTCATTATTTCCTGTTGCCTGTGCCTATTGCCTGTGTCTATTGTGTTTAAGCCTTTACTGACTGAAAGATTCGAAACGCCATGGAAAAAATGAACGAAACTAGAGATGTACTATTCAGAGATATTTCGTTCACTTTGAACGGATCCTTTTACTAGTCTGGGGGTCGATTCTGTATCTTCAATCAAGGTGAAAATTACAAAAGTGAGCAAATTTATTAGGTGTTGACCAATAAAGTTATCAGTATTATAGTATTATCAGTATTATAGTAAATTCGCTCACTTTTGTAATTTTCATCTTAGGTTTGTTCGCGTCGCATGCTCCAACATACTCCTACTTCCTCGAACTGTAGCTCCTACTCACTCAAACGCGCTTGTTAGAGTGAGTAGGAGCTATGGTAGGATATGTTGAAACATGTTGGAGTATACGACGCGACAAACCTTTTGTTTCAAGATACAGGGGCTCTATTCTTGAAAAGCAACTTATACGAAAGTCTAGGGAAATGCTACAGTATATATTACGTATACTATAGTATTTTCCTAGATTTTCGTATACGGTTCTTTTCAAGAATAGAGCCCCAGAATCGATCCCCTGTTGCTGGATTCATACTGCATCCAATGTGCGTCGTCCGACGCTCTGCAACCAATCAGAAAACAGGATGGATTTTGCTTCGTATCGTCGGAATGTTGATTGGATGATCTGAAAGAATACACCAATAGCAGCGAGCGCTCACGGATCCGCTCCGCAACAATTGAGTTTGCCGAACGCAACCATTCTTTTTGGAGAAGAGAGGATGCGCCTTAGAACATATACTACTGGAAGGAGAATAGGGCGCTGAACGTGATGCCAACATCTGTGCGAGAGAGAAAGGTATAGAGTAATATATGCGCAATGCGCATGCGTCAGTGCCATCGTATGTGTGAA